CACACTAATCTAATTGCTTTATGAGATACTGCTTAACTAAGGTAATAAAGGACCAGTCAGATCATGTGTTGGAAGCTGAGTCAGATTAACTATGTGGCACAGAGGTGAGGTTTCTCCGAAAACCTGAAGTGGAGTTTTCCTATTTTAATGTTGGTCTGTGTGTATGGAGCGACAGTTTGACATCTGACCAAGCATGGACAACAGAAAGAGTTAAAAAAAACTTCTGTGAAAGTGAAATTTTTTTTTTTGTTTCCCATAACTGAGGACTGACATCATGTACTAACCACCAAAATATAAAAATACGAAATAAATGGACTTCAATTGTGAATGAGAACAGCTTGAATGGAAAAGGATCCTGTAACAGATTCAAGTAAGATTTAATCAAATGATTCACAGTATCGTCGTTGTTGTTCTGATGAAATGTATGCTCCTATCAGGCATTATATATTGATTCAGACTTAAACAAACTTCATTGCCATTTTGTATTAAACAGAGCTGTACAAAGCGAAATTTAGTTTTGTACAGCTCTCATGTCATTTCCATTTCTTAAAGAGCAGCAGTGATCAAATGTAAACATTGGGAGAAAAAAAACATGGTGCAAACATTGGCTTGAAAACGTCCTGTGGAAAAACATCAAAATACTGTTGGATCGCAGACCAATGACCTGCGAGATTTGTTAACTGGAAAGCTTGAAAGCCACCCCGGATTATTATCATCTGGACAGTTCTGGTGGGGAAACTTTCAATAACAATGTGTGTCTGTGTCTATTCATTGTACTGCTCAGGTAAGTTTCATAGAACAATATTTTGCACTCTGAATAACAAATAAAGATATAGTTGTATCCTGTCTAGGAAAAGACAACCTGAGCTTTAAGTCAGATGTTAGACCTAGAACAGAGTCTGAAAAATCAGACCTTTGTACTTGTGGTGGTGTTCTGTCAGATGAGCATACCCAGTCAGACCAGCATACCCATTGTCAATAGCTGTTCATCCTTTTAGTTTTGTACAAAAAATACACTTTAAAATACCTCAATGGGTGTGTATCCCTTAATTATGTACAAAAACACTATTTAATTACTTATTTTTTGGTGAAGTGTATGGCGATCTGAAATCTAAATAGTTTTTTTGTACAGGACTAAAGGGATAAATGCAAATCTGACGTCTTGTGCATTCATATTGACTAGGGGAATGCTGGTCTGATGGAACAGCGCTAGTTATTAACTCCAGCCCTGGAAGCACAGCAAAAGTAAAAAAGGCTGGCTTGTCATGAAAAACTGTATGGTTTCAAGAGTAAAAACTACAACATCTAAAAGAAGAACATTATAAAATCCTTCAATTGGAGTTATAAGTCAAAGAGATGGAGAGATGCATGAAGCAGTAGCATGCTTCTGGGTTTTTCTTTCAAAATGCCTCAGTTGATGTTTTGTGACTACAATCCCAATTAAGCCAGTCTACTCAGTAATGAGCAGTTTGTGACTTCTTTTCTTCTTCTTTAAAGAAAATGCTGCACAGCAAAACTGTTTTTATAAGAATGTCTAGTTTGACAAGGGGATACCTCCATGGGAACATGTGGGTCGTTGTAATATTTTACACAGCCATGCTGTCGGAGGTAATACTGAACCACTGCAGTTGCCACTATAAGAAAACAGCATCTTCTTGGTTTGAAATGTAATGTATTCCTAAGCCATTGGAAATTATTCTTCTAGATACCATACGTGCACAAACAGAGCACACACAGAGGAGTTATGGGAAAATTGAGTCGTGAGTTGAGCCGCCCAACATCCAACAATGTTTGAGAAATGCATAATGGGAGTAAAGACACCTTTATGTTTATTTAAAAAACTGTTTTTACAATAGCTCTGCAAACTCTATTTGGCAGAATAATCTGCTGTTTCACAGTGGAAAGTTTCACATGCCAAAAGCTCAAAGTGATAAGAAATTGTTAGGAAGGAGGGTGAAAAGATCCTCTTACTGAGTCAGAATAAAGCTTAGCAAACAAATGGAGCAAACAAATTGTTTCATCTTTAGTGATTTTGTACATACGAAAATGGTCATGGAAATCTGTATTGTCTAATTCATTCAGCGGGTTATATTCTGTCTTAGATATCTTCTCTGGTCTTGGTGGTGGTATAGCTTAGGCCTTCATTTGAACCTGGATTAAATTTATTCTTTCTTCAACACAGAAGATAATTTAACTCCAGACAAGGGCAAGTCTCAGACTCCCATAATCCAGCTGATGCTCATTCCTTTCACCTGTCTAGCTCTCCCATTTTCCTCTTCTCACATCAGATCCACCTGTTCCGGTTTCTTATTTAAGCTCCATGTCTCCCAGCCATTGGCGCCAGATTATTCTTGAGCCTTTGGTGTAGAGAGTTTTCTATAGTTAGTTTAGAGTTCTGATTGTCTGATCTGATTCGCATTTGGACCTTTGAGCCTGCCTGCCCTGTCTTATTAGTTTGCCTGCCTGGTTTCGGTCTCCTGTCGGATTCTTTTGTGAATTGCACTTGGACCTGCCTCTTGACTTCACCGTTTGGATTATCCTGTCTGCCTTTGTCTGCTCAGATCTGATCTACCCGTCAGCTCTGCAGCCTTCCACATCTGGAACTCTCTGGCAGCGCCAGCTGCTTCCGTTCATTCAACCAGCTGGAACCATTCTCGTTCTTTGAGCACAGGACTTAACTGTCAAACCAGGTTAGTGACTCGCATGTTCATAATCCTCCTCTGACAGATTATCGAGTCACAAGCTTGTGTTTCTCTACAATAGATATTCCTGTGATAGACACCCTGTCCGCTGCAGATTCACTTCTGTAAAAATAAAGGCTTTTGAAGTATTCTTCTGTCTGTCTTGCCTGAATTCTGGGTCCTACGTTCTGAGCTCATTGCACCTAATCTAAGAAAGCTTTTTCAATGAGCTAACATGGTAATATGAGGAATTTGCTTTGATAGAAAGGTGTTACATATTGTGAAACATGCAGCTTTCATAAGTACTTGTGAAAAGTACACAATATAGTTCTAAAGAAATGAGGTGTGTCACATTCAGGTGCCTTGGCATGGCAACACCTACAGCTCGGCCCTTTTCTGGTCAATTTTTGCTCTATGTGAAGGTGTCAACCTTTATCATACTAATTGCTATAGAAAAATGTTAAAAAAGACAGGCAGACATGAAACTAATAAAATTACAAAATATATACCACCAGAGATGATTAAAGTGAGGAAAATATTTAATACAATCAGACAATTACAGAGGAGAAGCTGAGTAAATAGGATCATAGAATAACATTAATTCCATCTTTATATGTTTTAATAAACATATCTGAGCACATGGCTTTAGCAAAACCTCTTACTGTCCTACTAAAATGTTTTCTGATTTAAGGAATCAATGCTGATGCTAGAGGAACAAGTTAGCTAACTTCCTCCTAGATGACAGAAATCAAGGTTTTTCACAGCAAACCTTTTTCTACATTGCACCTGGCCATATGTGGCAAATAAAGGAACAAACTCAATTCTTCAGACATGCTCACCTTCTTTTGTGGCTCCATGGTCCAGTTCTGATGCCTATGTGTCCAGTGTCTATGTGCTCTCAGACAAAACAGCTCCATAACTGACAAGGTGTGGTGCACGGTTTGATCCCTTCCCATCAGAACCAGCAGTTTGAGCCACAACAGCCTGTATGTCGGATCAGATAGGGTGGGCCACTTTACCCTCTTAACATGACCTGCAGTTTTGGAGATCATCTAAGAAAGCTTCCTCTCCCTATGTTGGAAGTGAGAACTACATGAAATATTCTCAAGTAGCAATGCTACCATGAAAAGGTTAAATAGTCAAAGCTTTACAACACAGTCCTACTAAACGCCACCTGGTGAGCGAAAGTGAGAAGTGCAGCTTTGAGTGCAGCTTTGAAATAGCTTCAGTGTTATGACCCTGTGACCCGTCCCGAGGATTAGGGCCACTGAAAAAAAAAAAGTTAACTGATTTTTTTTTTTTTTTTATTTCAGTATAGTATGGGAAAAAAGTCAGAATTCTGACTTTAATCTCAGAATTCTGACTTTTTTTATTGACAGAATTCAGTCAGAATTCTGAGATTAAAGTCAGCTTTCTGAGAAAAAAAGTCAGAATTCTGACTTTTTTCCCATACTAATTGAAATACAATTTAAAAACCAGTTAACTTTTTTTTTTTTCCAATGGCCCTAATCCTCTTCCGTAATTAAGCTGCGCTGCTGCGATACTTTTAAAATTTATTTGTTGAGGTCAAGATAAAGGTTATCTTGATTTGAATACTTTGATAATACCTTTATAAATAAGTGCCATATTGTATTTTATTGCATTTGTAATATAATTCCTCCATTATAATCAGAGATGGGAAGTAATGAATTACAAATACTTAGTTACTGTACTCAAGTAGATTTTTCTGATATTTTTACTTTACTTTACTACTTATTTTTATGGCGACTTTTTACTTCTACTCCTTACATTTTTAAAAATTGTCTCGTTACTTTAGTTTTGAATCATTTCAATGGAGTTACCGTTATTATTTTTCACGTCATCAATACCAAATTCAATCTAATTGGATGGGAATCTACGTTGCATTTGACGCACCACTACAAGATGAATCGACAGATTCGGCGGTATTCATTGGCGGCAAATCATTGCAGCTTGGTGGCGGTGGCGTTAGCATAGTAGCATGGACGACGAGATGATTGAAAATGAACACAACGGAGATCTAGTCCTATTGGCAGACATCCATTTAAAATGTAGGCAACGGCATGAAAAAAGTGGTTTCTACTTTTACTTTTATACTTTAAGTAAATTTACAAGCCTGTACTTTGTTACTTTTACTTGAGTAAAGAAGTTTAATCAGTACTTCCACTTTTACCAGAGGATTTTTTAACACAAGTATCTGTACTTTTACTCAAATACGGAAAGTGAGTACTTTTGCCATCTCTGATTATAATATAATTCCAATTATATATATATATTGGTTTAATCAAACGAATATGCAAAATAAAGGCGAGCACAACCTAAAAAATTAGAAGTATCAGATTGCTGTGGGATCCCTGCCTCCTCATATTTGGACAATAATATAGAGCCATTGCTACCATTGTTAATCTGATACTTCAGAGTTTAATCCTTTCTTTGAGTTTTAGCTCAGTTCCTTCATTGGTTAAAACCTGTTTTCACATATGGATTACTTAAAAAAGAAAATGGATTGATAAAATAAAGAATGCCATGGACAACCCTGAACACCCTGGACAGATGACTGTCAGTTAAACGTTTTTCAGTTCTGCAAGATATACAGCTACAGGAGATCCTATTAACATCTACCAATAAGTTGTAGTAGAGTTATAATATCTAATTTCCCGTTCAGGGTTGATAAAACATTTCCCAATTGAATTTGAATTGAACTGTATCACTTTTGACCCGATATGAACTACTAAAATATAAAATCCAATTATAAATGTTTTAAATAGATTAATTTAGTACTTCGTAGGAATTCCGTTGAGACATATTTACCTTTTTTATTGATGGCAACAATAAATAGCTTTCTTTTTATTTTATTTTTAGTATGAGATTCCTTTCCTCCTGTGAGCATTTGATTCAAAATAAGCTTGGAGTATCATTGTGTGACATATTGGCAATAAATGATACATTTTTCAGGATTACTGGGATCATTACTTGTTGTTCCAAGAAATGTGGAAGCTGCTGGATAACATGTTACTGTAACAGATGGTTTTATTGAAAAGAGATTTCATGCATTCACTGGATGTTTAAACAGTTAGTTTTGTTATTCAACTTTTGGTAATATTTCACTAGCATTACAAAGCACAAAAGGAAAATAATAAATGGCCAACATGACACCCAACAAACATATGCATTCCCTCATATTAGACATCCTCTAAGTCGGAATACTTACATTACATTCCCCTCCCAACATGATTTATTTTTTAAAGCCAAATGTAAAAAACAAAACAAAAGAAGATTGTGCAAAAACTTAAGCAAGACAGAACGTTGTCATATACTAGAGTTCTTGTAATACTATGTAAAGTCACATTCATTCAGCATTAGCGTCATGAATGTGGTCATAAAAGTTAACAGAGTAGCTCTACTCTGGTCTAATGTTGAAACTTTTAGATCTGAATTATATACAGGTAAGTACTTCTAATTGAAACTCCCTTATTTTACATGCTGATAAATCTTGGATGTGAACTGTTCCAGCAGTGAGATGAACCATGTGTAAACCTGACTGGCTGTGGATTTGTTCATTCCTATGCTGGGCTAAGTGCTGAATGAACATCAACAGTTAAAGTTTGACATGTAACCACAGGGTGAGTCAACAACAGGGAGGGTGACAGATTTGAATCCTTAGGAAAGTTTGACAGAGTTGTCACATTAAGAACAGGGATGAAGCTTCACCAGAAATATTTCCTCATGCAAGTTTCATGAGTAACAATTTGTCCTCATTGGATTTTTACCATGAGCTTTCTAAAGCACGTCAGATGAAGTTCTAATGCAATGTCTAACATTGAAGATAAATATTATTGTAAAGGTGAAAGGACTCCTGGAGGAACCACCCTGGATGTTCAGAGGATCTCTTAACAGATGGATTTGGGGCGAACCTTTGGGAAAAGCTGCAAGAAAAATAGAAAACGTTTCTTTTAGTTCTGCTTGAAAATAGAAGAAATTGATTACATTTAACTTTTTTAGGCTCATGTAAAATTATTTAGGTATTTTTTTCTGATCCGAGTTCCTTTTCACTCAGGAGAAACAAAATTGCTCTCATTCCTAAAACTCTACACACTTCTTTTCCACTCTAGATTCTACTTCAATCTAAATAAAATAAATTATTTAAAAAATATAAATTTCAACATCAGTTCAGAAAGTAATAATATAATTAAAATGATTCTGTATTGATGAGTCATTGAGTTTCACTTGTTGACAAGGAAAACTTAAAATTAACTTTTCAGTTATACTCAGATATACCTGTTTGACAACTCCTTCTCTGCAGAGTAGCTTTGAAATGTCACCTTTGATTATGCACAAAAAAAAAAAAAAAAAAAAAAAAAAAAAAAACTGACAGCACAAATATCCTATTTAACTAAATAAATGATTGATTAATATTCAACTCACCCCAAAGAAGTTGTTTGGAACCAAGCCCTCCCTGCCACAGAGGGAAGCCCACCACCAGTCGGACCCCTCTGTCTTCTTCAGGATGGTGACCATGTCTCCCTCCTTAAAGCTCAGCTCATCAGGTGCTTGAGCCTGGTAGCTGAACAGAGCATACAGGACCCCATTGTTGTCCACCCCCATGGACTCTTCCTTGGCTGGTTGGGGAAAGCAAATATGACAAAACATAAAATAACAAAACAGTTAAGATATTTTGGTGTTTTTTTAATAATTTGTTTAATTTGACTGTTTAATTGTCATTTTCCATCACAGAGCATTTGTAAGATTCAGATACTTCTTTGTTCTTATTCCTCGTGCAAATATCTTCTAATAATTTGTCCTTTTTTTGTCCTCTTTCTTTAATGTTTACACAGCAAAATTGCAGTCATGTCCATCAGAATCCTTTGGAGTCTAGAGCGCATATCTATAGAAAATCACGAAGCCTGACTTGCACTTTCTGCTGACTAAATTCCTCTTTAATTAGGAGCTCACAGCTTCCAGTTGTACATCCTCCTTTCCATGGTGCACGCATTCAGAAATTAGCTCCATACTGTAGTTGTAACAAATATTTCCCAGAGTTATCCATTGTCACTGTGTTTCTTTAGATGATAAACAGCTCTTGCTGAGGAACTATCTAAGGAATCCTGTCCAATTTAGGGTTCCTCCATATGGCCCTTTGCCAATTAAATTCCTTTATATTAATGATTTCCTGCTGCAAAGAGGAAGAAACACAGAAAACCTCTCAAAGATTTCATTTCATTTAGCCTTTAAATTGTGACTGGGACTCTTAAACATTTTATATCAAAATGTATTTTCATCTTTTTACAACTGTAAAATTACGTTTGTTTTTTTTTTACATTTTGTCATACTGCAACCACAAGAGATTTAGTTTAAAGGTATAGTGAAGGATTTTCACAATTTTATTTTAAAGACTCTATAGGACCACTTATTTTGATGATCCACCCAGAAAAAGAACATCCTCCACTATGCCTTTAAGTGTATATAATACACAAAGACAAAGTGCTGCATAAAATGGAAGGCTATAGATACATGGCCTGCCAGTTGTTTTATAACTGCAAACCTCAAAGTTTGCATTTAGTAGGCCTGAGTCAATACTTTTAAAAGATCATTTTCATTGGGCAATGTCTCTATAGCAAACAGCCTGAATTTACACATTCATTCGTGTTGATCTCTCCCTAGGTCACATCAACATGTGACAGAATTTCCTAAAAAAACAAAACAAAAAAAAAATAGACCACCATTTCCTCTTTCCTGAATATCAACTTGAGATTCAAATGATGTTATAAATACAGGTTTTACCTGCTACAACATCAAATTTGATAAGGATAAGACAAAAAACACTATTCTAGAGAGTTTTTTTTTTCTTTAAGTATTTCAAGTTGGGTTTTTTCTGCAAATATCTTAAACATCATTTCTAACTATCAATGATGCAAGTGGGTCTGCAAAGAGAACAGGTGGACAGAAATTGTTGAAAGATGCATCATTTCAAACTAGAGAAGGTTGAAGTCAATTTGGTTCTTTAGTTCAATCTAGGCCAGTCCCATGTAGCACTGGTTGTGTTAGGTTAGTTGAAAGGTCATTGCCCATCCAAAGTTACATTTTTTTTTTCAGCCTTGAATAGCTTTTTTTCCATTATTGTCGTTCATTTAGTTTAATTCAGAAGTTGCCCATCATTTTGTATATAATAATCATCATGTATATAATAATGTATATCTCTTTTTTAAAGAGCTCTAAAAGGTAAACTGAGGTTGAAGTATGTAACTGACATTGAAAGAGCACAGTAGATTTTTCTGACATTGCTTGGGGGCTTTTTAATAAAGAGCGTGCAATCACTGCTGAACATCTGGGAACATTCGCCTCACCTTTTAGATAACTCTCACACTCATCATATCCAAAAAGGAAGGGATCACACTTCTGGGAGGCGGTTGCACCGTCTCTGTGGGTGAAGGCCATGACAGCAGCTCCATTTCTCACTAAAAACTCGCACATATCACGGTCGTTACAAGAGGCCGCGCAGTGTAGCGGAGTCCTGCAAGCCAAAAAAAAAAAAAAGGCACACAATGTTAAGAAGAGCAAACACCATGAGAGATATGGAGGAGGACGCTGGCGAGAACGTGAGCGGGCATTTACCAGCCATGGCTGTCTGGTGCGCTGACATTTACGCCAGTGCGAACCAAGAAGTCTGCCACCTCGTGATGTCCCCCGCAGATGGCGTTATGCAGGCCGGTGATGCCTTCGTCGTTGGACTGGCTGGGGTCTCCAATCTAGGGAAGAGATTCAATAAAAAGTTCAACTTACTTTACACCCACACAACATTTTACAATTAAAGCTTGTAAACTGAAAAAGTTACTCCCTCTACAGCAAAGGTAAATGTTAGCATGTCTATAATAGACCCTTATATAAAGGTTAAAGCTGATATCTTGGTCCTCCGGGTGAACAAGAGGAAACATGGAGGGGGTTGGGGAGCATACCTAGCATAACTTTATGCAAGTCACATCCGTGCACTTTTCTTTGAGTCCAAATCCAGGGCTGGATTCCAGAACACCTCAATCAACACTTCAATCAGTCAGTGAAAGTTTAAAACAGCTCGATTTATCTCACTCCTAATAAATATTCCTGGGGACTGCTTTTGTGTGGGACTGAATGCTACCAGGCATTGCAGCTATTATGAATACACAAGATTAATGCTTTGATTCTCAAATGTGAATAAAGTGTTTTCATTAGAACTAAACAATACACTGGCATATCTGAGCTGATTTTACCGCGGTTAGCAACATCACAACAGTATTTTGGATTTATGCAAATCATTTTGAATCCAGTTCAGCATTGCAGAGGCATGTCTGGGCCTCTCTCTCAGGGTTTAAGTGCTCCTTTCCGCATGTTTATCTTATTTGTTTTGTTTTTTTTAAGAAGGACTCTGGTTTTCACCTCCAATCTAAACACATAAATTAATGTTACTTACAAATCTAAATTGCGCTACTATTTGATTGGGTACATTGGTTTACTTCCCATTGTTTTTTCATTGCACATCAATCAAATGAGATGGAGTGGGGGAAGGCCTGCATGCTTTAGATGCGTCTCTGCTGATTCAAATGTTGTGAAATTATTTAATTCATGCTTTGACAGCATTTTATCTATATCTGCAGATGATTGATAGTAACCCATTAATTCAAACACTTATATAAAACCTGGGAAACACCTAAAAACCATTCCAGTCAGTGGTGATACTGAACACCACTGACTCATACAAACCATCATATTTGGTTGATTTAGAATTACAGAAAGCTTTTAGAATAATCCTTGGCCAGTTATCTATTCATGTGGTTCATTGCATAAGCCCATTTTCACACTGAATTTACACATAGTCCAACTTTACTTTTTAAATCATCATCATCATTGATCAAGTTTTTAATCGGTTTGGATTGAGTTGCTAAGTTCTAAGAGGAAAAATGTTGAAATCTATCAAACTTTATTTTGAATGATAAGTGTTTGGGAGCAGTTTTTGAACCAGATTTTCTGCCTCACAGAGTTTAAACTCTTCATGACGCTTTATCAAGTCAGGCCTAATATCAAGACATGAATTGTTAGTAACAATGGTTTGGTTTTACCTCCAAATCTGTCTATCATTAAATAAAAATGAAAAACAGTTAAGTCTGTGTTTTATTTTGCAGAGCACAGGAACTTTTTTCTGGTTTAGGTTAACCAATTTTATTTAAGCACATTATAACGTCATATAATTACCTCTTTCACGGCACGAATCACTGTGTCCAGTTCCCCCATCAGCGCTCCATCCAGCAGCAGGACCAGCGGGTGGAGCCGAGCTCGTCTTCCTGATTTTTTCCGACCAGGTTTCCGCAGAATGGAATTGTACTGAAGGAAAAATGGAACAGATTTTTAACCAATACATTTTTTTTTATTTATATTTTTGCTAAATCAAACTCTCTTAATAAATCAATTTATCCTTTGAAAACTGCATTTTGCATTTACTCAGTTTATCTTTGTCTCATATAAAATTAATTCTCATTAATTGATGATCTGGAGTTGAGTGAAAATAAACTGTAAACAGTTTTTTTATGGTACAGAACATGTGATTTCATCCAAAGGTAATGGAGTTAAGTGTGTTTTACTTTTGGCAATACTGAAAACCAAGTTCTCACTTTTTCATCTTCAGCACGAGGTTCAAGCAACTTGAAACCACTTGAGGGTGGAGCGACAGGAGGCAGGGCGGGTTCCTCCCCATCAGAGGAGCTGTCGCTACCTTTTCCCGACTTATGGCGGTGTTGTTTTTTGTGAAGTATCTTATGGATGATGGTTTTGTACTGGTTCGGCTGGTAATGTGAGGCCTTCTTCAGGCCCTTAGAAACGTCCACAGATCCTCGTCTCTTCAGTGGCCGGGGAATTTCAGACCTGATGAGGAGCAGTTCCTCCCGATCTGGGAACTCAGGGTTCTGGACCTCAGGGGCCACCACCGGCTGCAGCCTTGTGGGGCTCAGGGGCCGAGGAGCAGGTGTCGCGGGCTGTTCGATCTCATTTCCACTCCCTGGCATGGATGAATTCTCCAAATTTGCAGGGTTCTGATGCATGTAGTCCAGGCGCTCTATTTCGGCGTCTATATCCCCTGGGTGTAATGCTAAAAAAAATGAGTAAAAAGCACATTTATATTATTACGATTATGAAATTCTAAATTCATACAGAGCCTAAATTGTTCAGGTGTTTAACATATTTTACCATCATTATAAACAGCTGGCTGTTTCAGTTCAGGTGGATAATGCTGTGAATGGTAATGGTTGGATGGAAAGGTTGGATGGAACATTTTCCTATGAGCCGGATCAGGTGGGCGGTAAGGTGCCATGTCTCCTTGTCCTTCCCGGCTTTGATTTTGGAGAGCTGACATTTGCCCATACTCAGGATTTTGGAGACGTAAGATGACAGAGATTGGTATACGCCTTCTTTGGCGATGCTGGATGTGTTGTGGGGGCATATTGACACGGGAAATGATGGGCTGTAAGCTGTAAGGGGAGTTTCCTGAGGACGGAGCTTCAGGTGGAACTGATATGCGAGCAGTGCGAGGCAAAGAACTGTAGGAACCCTGCTGGGCAACAGAGCGATGATCCTGTAAAGTAGTAAAGAGAAAATAAAAGAAACACTTGTTACTTCTAGACCAGAGGGTTTGCAAATATGCATATGAAAAGCAGTCAGGCTTTTAAACATTATCAGATTTTTACCCAACTGTTTAGGTAATTAGGCTAAGCTATTATGTAGTAGATAGCTACACTTATTAATCAGTATAGAGCTGATGTGTTCTGTAGTTTTAGTTCGGTTTATATAACTTGGGCACATAAAAATGTGACGGTAAGTTTTCAATCAACTCTTAGACATCTTCAAATAATCAATGCTGGTATTTTCAAAGACATTTTTAGTACCTATAGTCACTATAGTGCCGTTTAGAGCTTTAAAACTTTCCAACATTTTCACAATACTTAATTTGGATTTTAGTAATTAGATAAAAAAAAAAAACACACAAATTAGGTCTTTACATAACACCTTGGGCTTTGAACATTTTGCAAAGTTCTGTTCAACCCATTTACAGAAAAACTACAGGACAACAGCAAACCTCCAAACACATCTCCACCCAGAATAACAGGCCTGGCAAGGAGAATATTAATTACAGAGGCGCATGGAAATACTGGAAGAGCTCCAGAAATAACCATTTGTCACACACACCACAAATTTGGCCGTTACAGAACGGTGGCAAAGGGAACAGTTTTGTTGCTAAAAAGCATGGGGAAAAAAAGTCATGTTTGCAGTTTTTGGTCTACAGGCAAAAGGCTGTGATCTTAACAATCTAACAGCACATCACAAAATACACAACAGCCATGGTGGTGGCTGCATTATAGTGTGGGGATGCTTTTGATAAGAAAGGGGAGCTTAATAACAATGAACCAGGTAAAGGAAAATCCTGGTGGAAAACTTGTTTAGGGCTGAAAAATAAAACTTTTTTAAATTCAAAACATGTACATTATTTAAATAACCCAGAAACATTACTGACAAAGAGGAACTGAAATCTATTTAATAGAAAACACAAACTTTGGCTTAGCGCTGCTTTAGCCATGCTCTAGTGTGGCCAAGGAAAATACTATTGCTATCATCTGTCATAGAGCTTAATAAATGTATCACCTTGACTATATTAATAATAATTAGGGCAGAAACAAATAATCGGATTAATTGATTATTGAAATAATTTAGCCATCGATTAATCGTTAATGGAGCATAGAGACTGTAAAACATGTCTTTAGCAGACAGAGCAACACTACTTTGAAAAAAAAAAGTAAGCATTTTACATTTAAAAAAAAAACTTTTTCATCTGCCAATATGCGCTATCCAGAACTCTTGAAGTGGAAATGTTTTAGCTCTACCTGGTTTAATTTAGTATAAAATCTTCTTCAAGAAACCTTTGGCTATCCGATTATTAATCGAATAATTGGAAAAATAATCGACAGATTAATAAATTTGCAAAAATAATCGTTAGTTGCAGCCCTTATATTTATGATCAAGAGAAAGACAAAATTCTAATTCAAAAACTCAAAATATGTTAGGAATTATAAATGCTTTTCATTTTTCAGGTTTTTTAGACTTGTTGAAACTGAATCTAGAAAGAGTAACTACTTAACTAGTGTCTTTTATTTTTGTTTTGTTTAAATCACCAACTCTAGCTTAGTAAGTCAATCAACACTAAATGCGTCATACTTGCACATTTCATTGCCATCTGGCATTAAACCACCTCTGCACAGTGTGCAAAGAACATTTAAGAGCAGTTCCTATTTGTATACTAAAGCTACATCTAAAGCTTTTTGAATTACATTCAAGAAAGCCAGGAAGTGTTAAAAGGGTTCGAGTTCCACGGAAGGGTTCAACAGATGTTCTGAACATTGTAGTTAGAACCTCCCACCTTTTTAGGGCTGGAGGCAGAAGGAGGGCCATCAAGGTTGGATTCCCGCCAGCTACTGTTTGGAACAGACGGTCGGAGCCAATCTGTCTCTGTAGGGGGAAAAAATGGCATGTTAAAGTTGCCGCAGGAGAAGACCAGCTATTAAGCAATTCTAAGTAAAACCTTAAAAAGCAAATAAAACAAAAATGCATGAATCAACTAACTGTCATAGGTGTTGTGAGGTTTCCTGTCATATGACACATCCAGATCTGTTTCGTTCCACTTTCCTGGACTTTTCTGCCTCATTTGAGACTCTTCTGTCAAAACACAGATCAAAGGTGATATTGCAAAGAAATACAAGAAAGCACACAAAACTTTCTAAAAACAGAATCAACCTACCAGTTTTATTGAATAGGGTAAAATTTCGAGGTAAGGTGCTGGATCCTTGCGAGTTTAAAGACAGAGGAGAGGGAGATCTCAAAAACCCTTGAGCTGATCCTCTATCTGGCTGAGGGGACCTGCGGCTCATCTGGTTGTTGTCAAACGGACTCAGCAGGTTTTGGGGCATCTGATGTGAGGCTAAGTGAGAGGACTGGTCCAGAGACCCGGGTGTTCGGCTATGTGATTGGGCTCTTTCCATGTCAATGTTATAGCCATGTGGTCTACTATCAAATGAAGAAGGGGATCTGGACCGGGGCAAGTGGGGTGACTGTTGGGGGCTGTGGGTCATAAGCATGTAGTCATCTGATCCAGATCGCTGATGCGTGGGTTTTACCGACCTGTGCATCTTTGGAGACGAGTGGGGGCTGTTGGAGATGACAGGGGGTGATGGAGCATTCCTGTTGCTGGAGATGCTGAGATCACTTGTATAATGAGAAGAGCCTGGAGAGAAGGGTTTGGAGCTGGAGGAGCCATTGCTGCTAATAGATGAATATGTGGGGGAGGGTGTGCTGGACGGCTCATACGACTGAGGTTTGCCTCTGGAGTGTATGGACTTGGTCTAAAGAAAAAGAAAGTGGTCTGATGTCAATTTACCAAAAATATATTAACTATAAATAAAAAAATGTCCCAATCAGGGTTGGTGACATTCTTTTTTTATTATTAAATAGATAAATCAGCCAGCGAATATTCATTTTTATTTAAGACATCCCTTGAAATCATGTGTGGCGAATGGATTGCCCCTCCTTTGTTAATATTTCTTTTATGT